GGGATTCTTGGTCTTCCTCCCTGCCCCCCTCACTCACATTGTCTCCATCTCTCTCAAAATGAACTTAAAAAAAAAAAAAAAACATATGCAACATTTGCAACTCATATACGCTGAGTTACAAAAGTCATATATAAAAAGGTTCATACTATATGATTTTTATAAAATTATAGACAAAGCAAATTGATCTCTAATGACAGAAAGCAAATCAGTAGTTGTTTGGGGATGGTGAAGTGTGAGTGGGAGGCAGGGAGAGAAGGGGATTACTAAGAGGCATTAGGAATCTTTTGGAGGTGATGGATATGTTCGTTACCTCAACTGTGGTGATGCTTTCATAGATGTATACATTTATCCAAACTTATTAAATTGTACACTTTAAATATGTACAGTTTGTTGTATATCAATTATACCTCAATAAAAATATTTTTAAAACCCTCTGCTGGTATCTGATTCCTACTTTGTACTGTGGTTTTAGAATTCTTTATTTTCTTGAGATATGATTGACATATAACATTAAGTTTAAGGTACACAATATGTCAATTAGGTAATTTATATTTTGCAATATAATTACCACCATGGTGTTAATTAACATCACTATCATGACACAGAATTATTCTTTCCTTTTTTTGGTGAGAACAATTTAGATGTAGTCTCTGAGCAATTCTGAATTTTATAATGCAGTATTATTGACTATAATTACCAGGCCATACATTAGAATTCCAGGATGTATTTACTAATTGCAAGTTTGTACCCATATAATATTTTCAAAGGTTTTCAACATTAACCATACTATTTATTTTTCTAATGAATCAAAGTTAGAATTCCTTAGGGGCACGTGGGTGGCTCAGTTGGTTAAGCGTCCAACTTCTGCTGAAGTCATAATTTCACGGTTCGTGAGTTCAAGCCCTGCATCAGGCACTGTGCTGACAGCTCAGAGCCTGGAGCCTGCTTCAGATTCTGTGTCTTCCTCTTTCTCTGCCCCTCCCCTGCTCGCATTGTCTCTCTCAAAAATGAATAAACGTTAACATTTTTTTAAAATTTAGAATCCCTTAGCGAATTTTTCTTTAATTCTGATTTATTCCTGAAGTTTTAAGAATTCAATGAGCAATGAATATTTGTATTTAATGATTGTATTCATAGCTAACATGTATTTGGCAAAATTACACTAAGGCTTTGCCATTACAACTAAATTAATTAAGTAGAATTACTGATACTTAGATATCAAAGCAATACACCAATCAAAATGTCTAAAGCCTAAATTAGCTGATGGGGAATAGTTAATAGAGTGCCCCTTCTGGAGAGAGTCAGATTTTCTATGGTCCCATAAAATAGGAAGGGAGGAATAAAGCAAAAGAAGCAAAGAGGAAAAACATTAATGATCTCTCCTTTTTAAATCACATACTTCTGTCATTACACCAAAAATATAAAGCTGTACTTAAAGATGTCCAGTGTCAAGATGTGAGAAAAAAAGAATTACTAATATTACAGGGATTGTTTTAAAATGTTGATGGTTGGGGCGCCTGGGTGGTGCAGTCGGTTAAGCATCCGACTTCAGCCAGGTCACGATCTCGCGGTCTGTGAGTTCGAGCCCCGCGTCAGGCTCTGGGCTGATGGCTCGGAGCCTGGAGCCTGTTTCCGATTCTGTGTCTTCCTCTCTCTCTGCCCCTCCCCCGTTCATGCTCTGTCTCTCTCTGTCCCAAAAATAAATAAACATTGAAAAAAAAATTATTAAAAAAAAAAATGTTGATGGTTGGCTGAGCTGAGAGTACTAAATGTGTATATATACCTAATGTAATGATAATAGGAGTTACTGGTAGTTATGCTGAAAAACTTTCAGGTTCCAAATTGAACATAAATCTCTAGCCAAAGTTCTCAGGTATTTAAGGTGTTTATTCAGCATCTTAAAGATGAACAAAACTACCACTATCCCCAGAAAAAGTATTAAAAAGAAAACTAACAAATTTAAGAAAAAAAACCACAGGATTCTTTTAATGAAAAAATTACATTATAACAAAGACACTATACATTGTTACAATATATATATATATATATATATACACACACACACACATTTTAAAACTTTTTAAAAAACCTGGTACAAATTAAATGACATCTTTCTCATACTCACATGATTAAGTAATTTGACAGGATGTAAAGATGAAACACAAGCTGGTGGGCCTCAAAATTAGAAACTCGAATGCAGGACCAGATCCCATTTTCTACCATTTTTGTGACTTTTAGAAAACATTTACCTTGGATAAGACAAGGTACTTCATGTAAAAACTTTTTCTTTTAAGCATGTTAACTGCTTGTGGAGAAAATTATTATTGAGGGAAAAGCCCACCATGGTGGTGTTTATCTATAATTCACTGTAGCATATATAAAATTCACTGGGAGGCTTTGGAACATGAAAACTACAATGATGAAAAAAGCTCAACTGTAATTATAAATTTCTAACTGCTTATTTTGAATGTCCAACTTACTACTACAGATATTACACCTTGTAATACATGACACAAAAGAGCATATATCAAACTTTGCTGTAGAGCTGTTAGGAGAATGCCAAATATAGATACTGAAAATTTTATGCACTTGTATTTAACACCCTGTGCATTTAAAAATTAATCAAATATTTAAAATATGTAAACACACTTTTATAAAAGCGATGCTAAGCACCCTTAAAATACAATACTGATATACTGTGACTGAACATGCACTTAGAGGGGAAATGAATTTTTAAAAATTTAGAAACCATTTTTAAAGAGCTACTCATTGAAATACTTACATGAAAATATTGATAGTTCCAGTTTCTACCTAAAAACCAAAAGAGTATACAATTAGGGATTTAAACCTTCCTTCATGCTCTTTTTTAATTTTGTTTTTTGTTTGTGGGAAGGATGCACTGTAACTTTCCTCCTCCTAATGAAAAAAACAGTACCAGAAAGAGACATTCACATAGAATGAAGTGAGAGAAATATTTTAAAACTATACTTTGTTCTTGTTCAAATGCCAAAGTCTGAACTCTCTAACATCTCTTATCCTCACAGGTAACTGACTAGAGTTTGTATCTTAACAAGCATTTCTCCTTAGCAACTCAACATCAAAAAAGAAAAGAATGTCTCCAAAGGAATATAGTTCAATTGGTAAAATATTTAATAATAAGCTATTGCCATTAATGAAAAGTCAATATTATTTAAAATCCTGAGAAAAGTTTCCATAAAAATTAGAAATAATAAATTAAAAGAATATTACCTACAAATGCAATAAAACTATAAATTCAGACTTATACCCTTTATGTACACACAGACTATGAGAAAGATGGGTTTGAGGTAACTAAGAGCTATGTTTAACTTAGAGTAACATAATCAGATTTGGCAGACTGCCTCTGAAATGCTGACATCAAATATTTTCAGTTCTTAGGAAAAAGAAAAGCTATTCTAATTAAAAATCATATGTGTAACTAAATATCAACTTTGTATTAAATAGGGGTATAAATAATAAATTTTATATTAAATAGGTTATAAATCTAAAGAGCATGGATTTTTAAGAGTTCCACTCACGTCTAATTTAACAATGCTTTACTTTAGGTACATGTTGTATACTTGCAACAATTAAAGTGAATTAAGAATGGGAGACTGGACTTTAGAAAAGCCAAAAAGGATTCAGTCATGTAAAATACTAAGGTTAAATTTCATATTACATTCCATATACTTTGAATATAAGTATTAATATCCATTTGAAATCCTTATTACTTTTAAATAAAGTCTTAAATATACCCACAAACGGTCCCTGGGGTGAAAAAAACCCTTAAATTGATTTCTTGACAGCTTATAATTGACATTTCTAGTTCACCAACCTTCCAGAAAACAAAAGCTTATAATGAATACAGTGATTAGTACTTATTCAGTATTTCAAGTAAATGTACTTACTCAGCAAGCAAATATAACACATCAGTTGTTTTAAATATGAACTAAATTTTAAACTACAAATACTTACCTTGAAATACTATAAATTCTAATACCACTAATTCAGTAAGAGCTCTGGCATAGAAAAATAAATACAACTCAAATTATTTTCTAACCAGAGCTGAATCTTCAATACAAAGTAGGAAAAAAAAAAATCTTTTGTGGATATCAAAAAGTTCCTCAAATTATCTGTCAACACCAGGGAAGTTTATTATTCTTTCTGAATTCTCTCAATTTCTATAGTTTTCTATCCACATGTAGTGTTTTACCTAAAATACTATATAAATCCATGCAATATACATTTATTTCTGTTGCTTATCTGATTAATTCAAATTAAAACTCTAAGTACTTACCAAGAAATTTTAAATTTCTACTAGATAACTATTAGTATGCTATTGGTTTGTAGTTATAAGTATAAAAATTATAATGGAAGAAGCCAAAATGCAATTACAGTTTCCACAGATGTGAATACTGAGCTTTATGTTATGATGTAAAATCTACTATGGTTTTATCTTTCTTAATGAGACAGACTACAAATATTCTCTCCCCTGTGCTAATTTAAAGAATTTCTTCACAACTTTAAAGAGGAAATAATTTCTTTTATAACTTTAAAAAAAGTCCACACACATACACACACTCACACACACACAAACTCACACACTATTTTTGTTGTTGTTCTTGTTTGTCTTTTCAGAACCCAAATCAGATATTTCCAAGGGATTAGTTAGATAACTATTTGTGTTCAGACTATATTGTCATGGATAAGTTCAGATGATCTTTGGAAATACTGGCCTTATCAGATAATCAAAAAGCATAAGAATTATACAAAATAAGAGGAATAAAATAGGTTCCAAAAATATGGACTTGGCAACAAACATATCGGTTTTAAATCAAAGTTGCTCATTGAACCGGTCTTCAGTTCACTTATCACAATGCTGCGCTTTGATAATATTCACCTTCTTTTTTATGACATTATAAGTCACCCAAGTTGTAAATTCTGAAAAGCTTCAATAATTTATGTAGTAGATAATTTCTTACAGTCCAAATTTTTTTTTGCTTCCATAGACAATGCTGGTTCTTTGGGTTCTTGCTTAACTTGGTTCACAGAAACGGTACCTTCTGGATTTTCTCCAACTTTAAAACCAAACATAAAAGAAAAACCCTAAAGGTTAATGTAACTTATAACACTAAAATCTTTATATGAATTTAGAGGCAAAGCAAAAAATAGTAGTTTTCTGAAAAGCAGTGTATTTGAGAACTCAGTACTTCTGATATCTTAATAATCATTCATAATTCTTTCAGTATATGTACACCTTAAATTAATGTAACAGTGTGTGTCAACTAAACTTCAATAAAAAAACTAAAAGAAAAAGAATAGAAAATTAAATGTTGAGAAGTAAAAAAAAATTCTTTAATGCTTCTGGTAGTGAAAAAAAGAAGAGACTAAGAAAATCATAGTTATTTTGATTTTAAGATAAATATCTTAATATTTAAGATAAATATCTAAAGATACTTTGACAAAAAAGCAGTCCATAATTTTATAAAATTATGAGGAGTATTTCATATTTAAACTTAATTGCCTCTGGGCGCCTGGGTGGCTTAGTCAGTTGAGCATTGAACTTTTGCTCAGATCACAATCTCTCGGTTCGTGAATTCAAGCCCCACATCAAGCTCCACACTGGCAGGGCGGAGCCTGCTTGGGATCCTCTCTCTCCCTTTCTCTCTGCCTCCCTCCTATTCATGCTTTCTCTATCTCTCAGAATAAATAAATAACTTAAATACTTTTTAAAAAATAAACTTAATTGCCTTTAATAAAAATATGTGTAAATAAAAGTCAGGAAGCCTCCCATTATTTGAAAATGATGTTCTGCAAAGAGCAGGCATATATATTACAAATTTACCAATATGTTACTACCCCCATATGGTTTCCATATGTGATCATATATCAAGGAAAATTTTCCCTCCTTAAAGAAACTCCACTACATTAGTACGTTAGAAAAAAATATGCCACATCTTAATGGATAGCTCTGACTTACTTACATAAGTTATGTGTTTGCTTACTTGAAACACTGCATAATGCACTTACCATTCTGATTTTAAATAAAGTACTTATGACCAAATTAATCAGAATGTAGCATACCAGAAACACTATTATCTTGAACAGGCAGGTGGGATATCTAAGATGAAATCTTTTTCTTTTTCAGGGATATCAGTTTTTCCATTGCTACAGGGAACTGAGATTAAGGGGACCAAAATTTGCTCTGGAAAGTGCTGAACACACCTAATGCTTGTCACATGTGAGTGTATTGGGAGAGTTTAGCCCACACCATAGAGAAAACCAATAGAAGATGGATTTGAGTGACCCTGAGAATTCATATGCAGGTGAGGGAGTCCCTCGGATCATGATCTAACTTGATAAATCATGCAGGTTCAGATCCAAAGAGGGTCTCCTTTAAAGCAATCTGAATTAGAGCTCTCAGAAATATCTTGGTACAACACAGAGGGAGGAAGCATGTTAGAATGTAAAGAAACTTTTGAGGCAGATAGATCTGGGTTTAAATCTCTGCTCTATCACTTTAGGCAATTACTTAACCTTCCTGAGCCTTGGTCTCCCTATCTGTAGCATGGGGACATCATCAACTATTTCATGCGGTTGTGAGGATTAGTCTCCATATATTCCTTTTCCTTCTCATCTATTGTCACAGCCCTCTGGATAAATTTTCTTAAAAGTAATGTTTCCAATAAATTTAAAATATAATGATTCTTTTCTGGAAGGAAGTATTTTATACTTTTCCTTACCCAAAATAATGATGACTAAGAATGGAAAGTAAATACTTTGTATGTTCTAAGGATAATTTCTATGAAAATTTATGTTCTTCAAAGCAAAATGCAAATCTTTTCCCACAAAAGTACCCAATCCAGAACAATCTGTGTGAATGGAAGTGACACAGGTCAAGTAGGAGTTAGAATTTATTACTAGGTTGACTGGGTTTGTTACAAAGTGAATGTAACAAAGTCTTGGATTAAGTTAAGTCCTTAAGACTTAACTAGTTTCCTTTCAATTTCTACAGAACTCTATATTTAAGTCTAGAACTTAAAATTTTAAAAATTTTATAGCTGCCCACCCCATTTTTCCTTTTAACAAATTTTCCATAATAACCTTTACACTAAATCTTTTCCTTTTAAAGTTTCTCATTTTTTTCATACATTCTAAAATGACCCTCATTTTATATGATTTCATATCACCACAGATTTTCCATGTAAACTGAGGTGATCAGAGAATGAATAACTTTGCTAGAGACAAAAAAATTTTTAAAGTTTAAAAATTATTATGCTCTTGGGGCGCCTGGGTGGCGCAGTCGGTTAAAGCGTCCGACTTCAGCCAGGTCACGATCTCGCGGTCCGGGAGTTCGAGCCCCGCGTCGGGCTCTGGGCTGATGGCTCAGAGCCTGGAGCCTGTTTCCGATTCTGTGTCTCCCTCTCTCTTTGCCCCTCCCCCGTTCATGCTCTGTCTCTCTCTGTCCCAAAAATAAATAAACGTTGAAAAAAAAAATTATTATGCTCTTGACATTTTTCCCTTTTTCTGGTAGTTTTACTTTATCAACTTATGTATTATAAACCCGAGTAGAAATGACAGTTTTTTTCTGTAGTGTAATAGTAACGATACAACAGAATATTACTCGGCAATCATAAAGAATGAAATCTTGCCATTTGCAACAATGTGGATGAAACTCTAATGTATTATGCTAAGTGAAATAAGTCAGAGAAAGACAAGTATCATATGATTTCACTCATTTGTGGAATTTAAAAAACAACATATGAACACAGGGAAGGGAAGAAAAAATAAGATAAAAACAAAGAGGGAGGGAAACCATAAGAGACTCTTAAATACAGAGAACAGAGTGTTGCTGGAGGGGAGGTAGGTGGGGGTATAGGCTAAATGCATGATGGGCATTAAGGAGGGTACTTACTGGGATGAGCACTGGGTGTTATATGGAAGTGATGAATTATTGGATTCTACTTCTGAAACCAATACTATACTGTTAACTAACTCAAATTTAAATTAAAAACAATAGCACTGATAGTCCATGAAGGTTAAAAAAAATAAAATCACAAGTTGCTTTTAACTTACTAATAGCTGGGTGGTTATCTATAATTTGTATTGGGATGGTTTGCACATTTCCCAACAGAATCCGATGAACACTTCCTTCCATATTCTCTGTATCCTCAACATCTCCAACTTGCACCAGCTGGTCCATTGCAGCTAGATTTTGATCTGGTCCTGGAAGGTTACCCATGGTAGAGGTAATAATGCTATTGTTTGGGGTCAGGCATGTATCTGTTTGAAGGCTATGACTTTGACCAAGCAGTAGAGAATTATTATTCATTACAGTACTTTCTAATGAGTCCAGAAGTCTTGAAGGACTGGAGGAAGGGTGGTTATTTACTGATATCAGAGTCGGTGATCCATCAGGAGAAGTGAATCTTGGTTGCAACTGCAAACCCTTTTAAACCGAAAAGAGTTACATCAATGTTTAAATTTACTAAGTATAATTTTTTCATAGGATATATTATTCTTTTCACACACAATTAGAATAAAATATAATGGTACAGTTACTAACAAATATTGAGGACAGAAACAAGAATCAAAGGAATAGTAGTACAACTAAATTTTATTGCATGCATGGTCAACTCCAACTTTTTCAAAATGTATTGTTTAAATTATCTTATATCAAGATACAAAAAAGTCAGGAAATTAATAATAAAAACATCTTTGATCATTATTACGATTCTATAACAATTCTATAAAATACCTAGAAGAGGAGAGATTGAGGAAGAAAGGGAAAGGCTTCAAATTTGTTTATTTCACTGGCTACCTACCTGCAGTTGAGTAAATACTTTTGGCTGAAATGAGGAAAGTGAAGAGAGCAAGTGGGCTGGCTCTGGAGACAAAGAACCCCTTGTCTGATTTGTTTCCACTTTGGTGCTAATTGATTCTCCTGGTGAATTTCCTAAGTTATATAAAAAAATAAGCCGTCAAAATAAAATAACATTTATGGCTTCTAGCATGCTACATTTTATTACAACATTTACTATCACAATTGGAATAGGAAATAAAGTCAAAGGTTTGGAAATGACTTTATGAAGTTATTTTTTCCACTATGGGGCACCTGGGTGGCTCAGTCGGTTAGGCATCCGACTTCGGCTCAGGTCATGATCTCACGGTCCGTGAGTTCCAGCCCCGCGTCGGGCTCTGTGCTGACAGCTCAGAGCCTGGAGCCTGCTTTGGATTCTGTGTCTCCCTCTCTCTCTGCCCCTCCTCCACTCTTGCTCTGTCTCTCTCTCAAAAATAAATAAACATTAAAAAAGTTATTTTTTCCACTAAAAAAAAAAAGAAATTATTTTGTCCACTATTTCCAGAAACACAGGAAACAGTATTTTTCTTTCCTTGAAAGATTCTGTAACTCTAATCTAGCCCATTTTCCGTGCTATGATGCTGAACTACACCTAAACTTCTCTAGATGTGTGAAACCTATTGAGTCTCAATTACAAAGACCAAACTTAATTCGTCTTCGGTAGCCCTAGTGCCTGGATAATGCCTGACATAAAGTGGGTCCTCAATAATAACAGTACTAAATTTCTTTCAATAACTCATTTTGGAATAAATGAGGAGTACAAATCTCTGTTTTCTTAATACTTCAATTGCTAAAGTAATTGTCCTTAGGGAATGTAGTTCCTCTCATGTAATTTTTATGTACTAACCCAAATAAATTCATCTCAGTCAATCAAAAACCAATTATCAGCAACTGTTTACTGTTTTCACACTAAGTAATTTTAAAAAATGGCCCTAATGTCAGACAAGGATGGATTTTTTTTTTAATTTTTTTTTCAACGTTTTTCATTTATTTTTGGGACAGAGAGAGACAGAGCATGAACGGGGGAGGGGCAGAGAGAGAGGGAGACACAGAATCGGAAACAGGCTCCAGGCTCTGAGCCATCAGCCCAGAGCCCGACGCGGGGCTCGAACTCCCGGACCGCGAGATCGTGACCTGGCTGAAGTCGGACGCTTAACCGACTGCGCCACCCAGGCGCCCCAGACAAGGATGGATTTAAGCACTAGCTTTTTTCTGTAACTTTCAACATGCTACTTAACTCGGTTTCTAACTTCAGTTTCTTCATTTGCAAAATAAAAATCTTCTTCAAAGGACTGCTAAGAGGATTAAACAACACTCTCACATTTCTTGGCTTCTTCATTCCCTCTTTTTTAAACTGAAGTATAGTTGACACACATTGTTACATTAGTTTCAGGTGTAAAATATAGTGACTGAATAAGTTTATATGTTGTGCTATGCTCACCCCAAGTGTAGCTACCATCTGGCACCATACAATGCCGTTACAGTACCAATGACTATATTCCATTTTATCCGCATGACTTGTTTATTCCAGAACTGGAAGCCTGTATCCCCTTCACCCATTATGCCCATCCCTGTACCGCCCGACCCCCTGGCAACCATCAGTTTGTTCTCTGTATATATGTGTCTGTTTCTGCTTTTCATTTGCTTATTTGTTTTGGTTTCAGATTCCACATACAAATGAAATCACATGGTATTTTTCTTTCTCTGTCTGATTTATTTCACTTTTTGGCTTCTTCATTTCTAATTGTCATTCTACTTCACTCTGTTGCTACTACTACTGTCACAACCTCATCTATTCTAAATCTAAAAATCTCTAATTCAAATATCCCATTCTTCGATCACAGCCTCTTATTTTTCCAAAGATTTTGCTCAAGTACTTCACTACAATTGTTGTTCAACCTCATGTGACCCTCCAGTCCATTGATTTCTCAGTTTTCTTCAGATCAACCTCTCCCTTAATAAAATTCTCTCCCCATTTAGCTTAGTAGAGTCTTAAGTTTATAATTTCAGTCACTCCTTGCAAATACCCTAAACTCCTTTGCCTCTCTCTACTTTGTTATAACCCCTGATAAAATCCTAACATTGAATGAAAATGGCTTCCAGGGCCTATATGTGTGAAGTTGAATGCCACTGAAAAAGAAACTTGCTACTACTACCAATACCAATTCATGATCATCAACTTCAACAGGACCTTCAGCTATACTGACAACCTTACAGTGTTCTTCTCACTCTATGTTATAAAGGATTTCAAATGTCCAATCTTGGCCACACTTCCTGAGATCTTTTTCATTCTTAGCACTTTTACTTAAAGAGAAAAGAAACTATCAGAAATTTCCTCAGCTTCCCATCACCAAAGCTATCAAGTACCTTCATCTTCATCTATCTCTTCAGATATTTCTTATCTGAAAATCCCTTCCCTCAACTCCATATTCCCTTCACAGCACACTGTCTCTACTTCTTCATTCATCACCCATTTACTTTTCAACCATCCCAAGATGGCTTCTTCCTAATCCGTTCCTCTGATACCCAAGGTTTTCCAACCTGATCTTATGAGCTTCTTTTCTCTTCCCCTGCCACCACCAGATCCTATTCTTATGCCAGTGTTGCCTAACTCAGTAAATGTTACTATCAGTCAGTTGCTCTTGGAAGAAACTCCCGAGTCATCCCAGATCATTCCCATTCTTTTACCTCTCACACCTATTCAATCAACAATCAAACCTTTGAATTCTACTTTTTAAAAAACTCTTAAAATCTGTCCAATTATAGTATAAATGCCACCAACTGTACACCAAACCACTATCACTTTTCATTTGGACAGCTTGAAAGGGCCTCCTAAGCCCATTTTGCATACCCATTTTTATCTCCAAGCATTTTCTACCCTTAGAACCATACCAGCTTTTTAAGTTCCTTGAACATGACCAAGCTCTCTGTTGCTAAGCTTTGAAAGCTATTCCTTTGATTGGCAGATTCCTAACCATTCTTCAGTCCTTAGTTTAAAAGCCACTTTCTCAAGTGTCACTTCCCTACTCTCCAGATTAAGTTATGTCTTTATCACTATTCCCACAAAATTTTGCACAACTCTCTCATGGCACTATTTATAACAGTAACTAGAATATATTTGTTTATAGTGTCTTTTTCTCTTGCTAAACTTGAAATTCAATGGAGCAAGAAACTTGTTCTTTTTTATGTCCAACATTTATCACAGTGAGTAAAATATGTGCAGAACAAATGAATAATGTTAAGGAATTTGAACGTTATTCTCTATGCACAGGCTCTCTTAAAGGTTAATCAATCAAAGAATAAAGAAAAAATTGTACTGTATATAGCTATTCATTAATTTATTCTAAAGCATTTATTTAGATATTAACTTTGTAGCAGGCATTATGCTAGGAACTAGGTATGTTAACTTGAATAAAATACAATCTTTGCCCCTGAGAAGTTCAAATCATGATGAAAGATACAGACCTATAAACAAAAGGATACCATGTTAAATGCAGAGGTAAGTACAAAGAGTGAATGTCTAACTTTATACAGGGGGTGAAGTTAAGAGAACACTTAAAGCCAAAGAGATTGATTTCATTGGTGAGAGAAGTTTGCCATATAAAAGTGGAGAAAACATGTTTTCAGAAGAAAGGGGAAAAAAAAGGTGAAATAAATCTGGATCAGTAAGAGAGTATAAGAGTACACATATGAGAAAAAACAAACCATACAAAATGGACAATAGCTTCCTGATCAAGGTACCTTAGGGTTATTACTACTGGAATTAGCCTAACTTTAGAGTAAACTGTACTAGTAGTCAGCCTCAAAATTTTAATCATAAAGAATAAAAGCTGATTATGTGAGGAAATTTTTTATTTTTTAAAGTTTATTTATATACATATTTTTTAATCTCTACACCCAATGTGGGGCTCAAACTCACAACCCCGTGATCAAGAGTCACATGCTCTTCCAACTAAGCCAGCCAGGCATCCCTTATTTTTTATTTCAATTTGTTTTAGTATAGTTGACACATGATGTTACATTAGTTCCAGGTGTATAACACATGATTCAACTTCTTTATATGTTATGTTATGCTCACAAGTGTAGCTATCATCTGTCAACATACAACATTATTACAACATTATTGACTATATTCCCTATGCTGTGCCTTTTATTCCCATGACTTATTTATTCCATAACTAGAAGCCTGTATCTCCCACTCCTCCTCACCCATTTTGCCCATTACCTTACCATCCCTCCCCTCTGGCAACTATCAGTTTGTTCTCCGTATTTGAAGTCTGATTCTGCTTTTTGTTTATTCAGTTGTTTTGGTTTTAGATCCCACATATGAGGGAAATCATATGGTATTTGTCCTTCTCAGTCTGATTTATTTTACTTAGCATAATACCTTCTAGGTCCATCCATGTTGTCACAAAAGGCAACAGCTCATCCTTTTTTATGGCTGAATAATACACATGAGGAAGTTTAAACAGCTGGAATTATTTTGACAAAACCTAACATAGTTGCTCTTGTCTCTTTTGGCCTTGGTTTCCTCATCCATAAAATTTGATTAGATGAGATAATACCTTAAATGTCTTCCAGTTTTGGGGCACCTGGGTGGCTTAGTCAGTTAAATGTCTGACTCTTGATTTTGTCTCAGGTCATGATCTCATAGTTTGTGGGTTCAAGCCCCATGTCTGGCTCTGTGCTGACAGTGCAGAGCCTGCTTCGGATACTTTCTTTCCTTCTGTCTGCCCCTCCCCGTCTCATGCTCTCCTGCTCTCCTGCTCCCTCCCTCTGTCCCTCCCTCTCTCTCTCTCTCAAAATACACATTTTTTAAAAATTGAAAAAAATAAGTATCTTCCAGTTTTGACACTGATTTTATATTTTAAAGATATTCAGGATAACATACCTTCTGCAAATGTAACTGTCACAGTCTCTCTGAGAATATGCCCATTATCTGTAGTCCACTGAAGCTGAAATGGAAACATTTATTTCAGTAAAAACAATAAAGAATTTATATTGCAAAATATTTTAAAACATCAATAAAACTGTCATATTTTATTCAATGACAGTACAATTGTGTTTTATTCAGTGATTACTCTCTTCACTTGTTTATATTCTTAAAGCACGAGTATACTTCACCATCCAAATACATAAGCTTCCCAATTTCAGATAGCAAAAATTCGGATAGCAAGCAGAGATGGCAAAGATCATCACTAAACAAATCCATTTTACTTCCTGAACTTTGGACAGTGAATAATCAAGAGAGTTTTGGATGGAAAAGAATAGTAGGACTAGCTTAAAATCTGAATCTATTCAGTTAAGAAGACATAATTTGGATAGTAAAAACATGGAGAGCAAAAGGTATTGCTACTAGGATTTTAATGCCATAATTACTGTCTGTACTATAATTAGTTTTTGAGTAATTATATTATTCCCTTCAGAGTAAGCAAAATTTTCATAGAAATGACCAATATTCAGGGGTAATTAAAGCATCACAGTTGACGTAAAACTGATATCCATAGATGGCATACAGAACCAATATCATCCCTTTGTAGATACAAAAATGCTGTGTATTCAAGTCTGAACTATTGTACTGATTTAAAAAGAGAGGGAGATATACACAGTATATACTCAATAAATATATGTTAGGTGAATAAGATACACTTTATACAGAGATAAAATAATGTTGATTTTTAAATGAAGATTACTATTGTTATTATAGTCAGAGATGGCTATTCACTGATATTTCTTCTTGTGACAGTAATATACAAATTTCAGTCAAATCATCATCTGAGGGTTCACAGTGTTTACATTTTAAGAGACTTTTTTTTCTTTCATCACAATCATTTATATGGCCTATTAACAACCACCACTATAAGGCCAAAAGTAATAGAGAAAGATTCTATAATAAAACAAAGAATTACAGTTGTAACCATACCGTTGCTGGAATAATATCTGAGTTATACACATTATCTCCATTTCTCAAGGCTTTCTGTACCTCATGGATGTGATTTTTAATATCATTTACAGTTGGAAAAAAGGATAAGTTATGTCTTTCAGGCACCTCATCAGGTTTAAATAGTTCTCTTTCCACAAATTTTCTGTGGAGAGCATAAAACAAAATAAAAACATAAATAATCTAGCAATATACTTCAGATAAAATGAGAAAAAGGTTTTTTTAGCATAAACTTATGTAAAGCATGGTTTATAGCTTTATAATTTATATTTTTCCAGTTTAAATTTTTTCATACATTAAATCAAAGAAATCATATGGATTAAAAAATGTAGTATTTTCATTAAACACCTATGTATCTTAGAGTGAGCTTTGACATTTTTATGAATTTTTAAAAGAATCACTATTTTCAGTTTAGGCATAATATGTTTTGAATGTTAATGATGTCAAGCAGTGTACTAAACATTTGACATCAAGGATCTCCATTAATGCCTACTATAATCCTGTGAAGAAAGTGCAATTATCGGGGCGCCTGGGTGGCGCTGTCGGTTAAGCGTCCGACTTCAGCCAGGTCACGATCTCGCGGTCCGTGAGTTTGAGCCCCGTGTCAGGCTCTGGGCTGATGGCTCAGAGCCTGGAGCCTGTTTCCAATTCTGTGTCTCCCTCTCTCTCTGCCCCTCCCCCGTTCATGCTCTGTCTCTCTCTGTCCCAAAAATAAATAAACGTTGAAAAAAAAAATAAAAAAAAAAAAAAAGAAAGTGCAATTATCATTCTCACTTTACAGATGAGGGAACTGAGGGCTGCTGACATTAAATAATTTGCCAAAGCTATACATCTAGCCAGTAAGTAAGAAAGTTTGGGCCTACATCATCTTACACTGTTGCCAAAAGGCATCACTTACTATATAAAATGTGATCTACTCCAATTTTATAAGTAGATAAAAGAGAGTATAGAAATAGAAGACAGCACTGACATATAAATGTATAAAAATACATAAAAGAAATGATAAAGTCCATTAAGATACAAAACAGATGAACACAAAGGAAAGGAAGCAAAAATAATATAAAAACAGAGAGGGGGAAGAGACTCTTAAATATGGAGAACAAACAGAGGGTTACTGGAGGGGTTGTGGGAGGGGGGGATGGGCTAAATGGGTAAGGGGCATTAAGAAATTTACTCCTGAAATCTTATTGCACTATATGCTAACTAACTTGGATGTAAATTAAAAAAATAAATTAAATAAAATGGAAAAAAAAAGAAATGATAAAGTGCAGTATTTATATGCTTCGTGCATTACATTCTATAGACCATACTGCAGAGCTGTATTATACCTCTGTTCTTAAGATTCAAGTTTAGTAAATAATGTATGGTTTTACCAAATTTGGGGTCTGTTCTAACAATGCCCCAATGAAAATGAATATAAATGTCTAAGAAAGTTGTTAAATAGGAAAAATCATATATTAATTAAGAAATAATCCTAGGAAATACTCACTGTGTTGTTCAGATCAGACTACTGTAACTAGTTATAACTACACTATAACTAGTAGGAATAAGGCCAGGAATAAATATCAGAAATCATGGTAAAGAGCACAGGCTGTAGAATTAGATCTAGATTTCAGTTCTGCCTCTACCTCTTAAGCCAGTTATTTAACCCACTCATAGTGTCCATTTTCTCATGTGAAGAATGGAGGTAAATATATCAACTTTATAAAGTTGCAGGAATAAATGAGATCGTGCATATAAAGTACATACAATATCTGTTACATACATAGTAAGCGCCACATAATAATTATTGTATCTTGAGTATCAATGACATTGGACCAGAGTGCTACATATAATTTAATCATACAAAGATCTATGTACGTAAATGAATATTGCTTTATAACTTCCGTTAATAAAATGCTTTCTAGTAACAAAAAAAAAAAAAAGAACTATCCATGTTCTTTTGTTGTAATACATTTAATTGCATTTCAAATAGCTTAAATAAGTATCTTGGCCTAGGTTTTAAAATCTTTGGTTCTACAAAGGTTTTTTTTAAAGGTATTTATTATATAATTCAATTTATATATCATTCAGAAATAGTCCAATTTGTTAAATCTGATTATGGAATATTTTAAATGAGTAATTTTTTTTTTTTAATTTTTTTTTTCAACGTTTTTTATTTATTTTTGGGACAGAGAGAGACAGAGCATGAACAGGGGAGGGGCAGAGAGAGAGGGAGACACAGAATCGGAAGCAGGCTCCAGGCTCCGAACCATCAGCCCAGAGCCTGACGCGGGGCTCGAACTCACGGACCGCGAGATCGTGACCTGGCTGAAGTCGGACGCTTAACCGACTGTGCCACCCAGGCGCCCCTTAAATGAGTAATTTTAATCATTACTCATGGCTTGCCAAAGATCTGCTACAAAATGATCAGTTCATAATAAGATTATTTTAATAAATTAATAAATTATAATCCTTATCTACTCTGATAGCATACATCCTGGAAAATGTCTATGATAATAAAAGTGTTATTATTTTTTTACTTTTTTAATGTTTATTTATTTCGAGAGAGAGCGAAAGCATGCATGCATGTATGTGGGAGAGGGACAGAGAGAGAGAGAGGGAGAGAGAATACTAAGCAGGCTCCACACTCAATGCAGAGACCAATGCAGGGCTCAATCCCACGACTGTGAGATCATGACCTGAGCTGAAATCAAGAGTTGGACACTTAACGAACTGAGACACCCAGGCACCCTGGTAAGTGTATTATTTAAACCAACAAACAAAAATGAAAAATGTAAAAGAACAATTTGTTTTTACCATACCTTAGCTGTTTCCTTACTGCATACACTTGTTCTATTCCTTGTGACACTAATTCTTGAATCTTATGTGCTACTTGAGGATGTAGACGTGAGGGTAATGTGCAATTTTCATCCCTGATTGCAGTTTCCTCTTCTTCAAGAGAAGGCACAGGAAAAGGGGAAGGTGACAAAGCAAGGCAGGAAGTTTCTAACTCATGATACTGATGAGCTTGCTTTGTAGGTAACTGTACATACCATCTGAGAAGTGGAAATATTTAAAATTATGCTATTAAACAAAGGCATGGATCATAGTTACTTATGTTAAACCTCATCAAGAAAAAGAATAACCTTTTAAGAAAAGATTATATGATATCATATTAAATGAATATAATTAGCAATTTAAAACTAATAAATAAATCTTAAAATGTCCTCTGCTTGTTCTAAGTTGGTTCTATACTCAATTAAATAAAAATCTTTATGAACCTTTATAGACTTTTACTCTGGCCCTAAAGTAAAGGAGGGGTATAGGAGTTAAATATATATGAAAATCATATTTTAAATTTCATGTTCCATAATTCAAGCTGTATTACAAAGCTGTAATCATCAAGACAGTATGGTACTGGCACAAAAACAGACACTCAGATCAATGGAACAGAATAGAGAAGCCAGAAATGGACACACAAACGTATGGCCAACTAATCTTTGACAAAGCAGGAAAGAATATCCAATGGAATAAAGATAGTCTCTTTAGCAAGTGGTGCTGGGAAAACTGGACAGTGACATGTAGAAGAATGAAACTGGACAACTTTCATACACCATACACAAAAATAAATTCAAAACGGATGAAAGACCTAAATGTTAGACAGGAAATCATCAAAACATTAAAGGAGAAAAGAGGCAGCAACTTCTTTGACCTCAGCTACAGCAACATCTTACTTGACATGTCTCTGAAGGCAAGGGAAACAAAAGCAAAAATGAACCGCTGGGACCTCATCAAGATAAAAAGCTTCTGCACAGCAAAGGAAACAACAAAACTCAAAGGCAACTGACGGAATGGGAGAAGATATTTGCAAACGACATATCAGATAAAGGGTTAGTATCCAAAATCTATAAAGAACTTATCAAATTCAACACCCAAAAAACAATCCAGTGAAGAAATGGGCAAAAGACATGAATAGACACTTCTCCAAAGAAGACATCAGATAGCCAACTGACACATGAAAAAATGCTCAACATCACTCGTCATCAGGGAAATACAACTCAAAACCACAATGGCTAACATTAACCGCTCAGGCAACAAGAGATGTTGGTGAGGATGTGGAAGAAGAGGATCTCTTTTGCACTGCTGGTGGGAATGCAAACTGATGCGGCCAGTCTAGAAAACAGTATGGAGTTTCCTCAAAAAATTAAAAATAGAAATACCCTATAACTCAGCAATTTCACTACTAGGTATTTATCCAAGGGATACCAGTATGCTGTTTCGAAGGGACACATGCACCCCAATGTTTATAGCAGCGCTATCAGTAGCCAAAGTATGGAAAGAGCCCAAATGTCCATGGATGGATAAAGAAGATGTGGTATATATATACAATGGAGTATTACTCAGCAATCAAAAAGAATGAAATCTTTCCAATTGCAACTACTGGATGGAACTGGAGGGCATTATGCTAAGCGAAATTAGTCAGAGAAAGACAAATATATGACTTCACTCATATGAGGACTTTAAGATACAAAACAGATGAACTAAGGGAAGGGAAGCAAAAATAATATAAAAACAGGGAGGGGGACAAAACATAAGAGACTCTTAAATATGGAGAACAGAGGGTTACTGGAGGGGTTGTAGGAGTGGGGATAGGCTAAATAGGTAAGGGACATTAAGGAATCTACTCCTGAAATCATTGTTGCACTATATGATAACTAACTTGGATGTAAATTTAAAAAATAAATAATAAAAAAAAGCCAGCTCTGAAACATGATAAAAAAATTTTCATGTTAAGTAAATTTTACCTCAAAATAACAAGACTTTTTTTTTTTTCAACATTTATTTATTTTTGGGACAGAGAGAGACAGAGCATGAATGGGCGAGGGGCAGAGAGAGAGGGAGACACAGAATCGGAAACAGGCTCCAGGCTCTGAGCCATCAGCCCAGAGCCCGACGCGGGGCTCGAACTCACGGACCGTGAGATCGTGACCTGGTTGAAGTCGGACGCTCAACCGACTGCGCCACCCAGGCGCCCCTAACAAGACTTTTAAAGTCATCATCTTTTATTTATTTGTGCATTTAAAGTGTGTGTATTTATTTTGAGAAAAAGAGAACAAGTGAGGGAGGGGCAAAGACAGAGGGGGACAGAGGATCCAAAGTGAGTTCTCTGCTGACAGCAGAGAACCCCATGTGGACTCAAACCCACAAACTGTGAGATCATAACCTGAGCCAAAGTCAGACACTCAACTGACAGAGCAGCCAGGCACCCCTAAAGTCATCATCTTTTAAATTGTGTATTTTCCCATTTTCTTATTTTGTCCCCAAATTATAACTTCTGTGTTCCACCTATAATCTGTCTAAACAAAGAGTGGCTATAATTCAGTGCCTACTGAGTTATGTGGGAGAATCTTCTCTGATAGGAACTCAATAAACTGCCTCTAACAGCACCCCATCTCCAATTGCCCCAATGAGCAAGAGAATTAACTAGAAGATGAATACAGATCTTTCATACAGCAGTGCAGTGCCCAAAAAACAGATGCTAGGAAAATGAAATGATCTGGTAGGATACTGTTTTAATTGATACTTTTGTACAAAGTGCTTGCAATGATTGATATTGCATGAAACGGAGCCTACTTAAAAATTATATGCAATGTTCTCTAACCTGGATGATCTAATTATTGACTACTCATTTTCTATACACCTGAAAGTTTTTCTAAAGTTCACACAAAAACTATATTCCATATATTTAATCCCACTGCATTACTGTAAATTCTTCACCTAGACTGAATATGAAGGAAAGAAGGAAGGCTAATATTTCTTCTTCTTTTTTTTTTTTTTTAATTTTTTTTTTTTAACGTTTATTTACTTTTGAGACAGAGACAGACAGAGCGTGAACGGGGGAGGGTCAGAGAGAGAGAGGGAGACACAGAATCTGAAACAGGCTCCAGGCTCTGAGCTGTCAGCCCAGAGCCCGACGCGGGGCTCGATCTCACGGACCGCGAGATCGTGACCTGAGCCGAAGTTGGACGCTTAACCGACTGAGCCACCCAGGCGCCCCTAATATTTCTTCTTATATAAAACCTGAAGCCCAAAAAGTACAAAATGGAATTATATGTAGGGCTTAGAATTAATTTCTGGCTGTCATAGATAATCAAAGATGGGTAAAAAAAATACATACAGGTGACTGCAAGTTCGGTTCCAATGAAGTGTCAGAAACAAAGTGTGAAATACATAATGATATGTGTTATTAAACCTGTATTTGTCATTTTGGGGAAAAACTTCCATATGGTATATGCAATTCTTTGGTCAGCATCATCCAAACATTTGGCTGATAAACTCAATGGCTTATACAGCAACAAACTGCTTTAATACCTAGGAAATCACTAGTGAGACATGTCCCTTATAAAAACCTTTTCTTAATGAAATAATTAGAAAACATAATTATAGTTTCTCTTACAGCAAAAAAAATCTTGTAAATGGAGCTAATTTGTAAAAATTTAAAAAAATGATATAAATGTCATACCTAAGAACACCACCAGCATCTACCAAATTCTTCTTTAGCATGTTAAAGGCTTTTTCCTGCTCCATTCGGATTATTTTCTTGTCAATTTTGGGGTCTGTAGGAACTCTATATTCAGGAAACTTCTGTACCTTTTTAATGTAAATCCTTTTTATAAAAAAAGAGGAATTTGTTTCATTATATTATAATCTTAAGAAAATCTAACTTATCAAGCAAAAGTTTAAGTATTAAACTTTTAAAAAATTAAATTAAATTAGAAAGCATTTAGAGGATTATGTTGAAAAATAAGCCATATTTCAGTGCATAATACTTAGCAAATGAACAATACTCATGATGTCAATAAAAGTATCTGAATATTTATGGATAGTAATTTTGTTTCTGGATTTCCCTCTTCTCAATTCTTCTGAAAGCCATAAAAAACTCCTGCCTGGGAGTTCCAGGAGGGTGCTGGGAGAGGTGGGGGCGGTGGCGGCAGCAGCAGCTGGAGGATGAATACGGGGCATTTCTCCACGTGGTATCCACTGTTCTGAAGCCTTACCATCAAGTGTGTCTTCTTCCACTTCCTCAGAATGTGAAGGATTATTTACTCCATGATGGAACTCTGGTGGTTTCAGGAAGAGAAGATCCGCCAACACATTCTCAGCCAGTGATGACGAGGCAGAAGAAATGTAGTGGTCGGATGATGAGAACATGGCTATGCTTATGGCACCAGAATTTCCCAAGTTTACCACTAAAGTCCATGAAGCTATGGATTCCCCAGGGTGAGGGGTGGGGGTGGGGTGAGGGTGAGGTGGGGGTGGAGGCAGTGTATTTCCTAGGCTTAACTGGAGTGCTCCAAGGGATGCAAACTGGATAGCAATGAACAGTTCTCTGAAATGTAAAACATTCAGTGACAACTTTCCATTGTTCAAGAGTTCTGATTTCATCATTCTTGACTTCACTCAACCATTTATTCATTGCACTGATGATTCTCCAGATCCTCGTACAGAATATGAACTTGTTCTTCAACAATGGTGTGAATTAATTTCTGGGGCTGAGTTCTGATGTTTTGTTAAGGAAAACAAGCTTACTGGTATTTTTCAAAGGGACTATACACAATACTATGATCATATTTCTAAACAAAAGAAAAAGATTTGCAGGTGCATACAAGAGTTTTCCAAGAAACACAGTATAAATTCTTAAATGAAGACTTTGTGTTGGATGTATATAGAAACAGCAGTGGGAAGGTGTAGCTGATTGATTTTAATCCATTTGGTGAAGTTAACTGATTCACTGCTGTGTACTTGGGAAGAGCTGATATCTGGGAGAAACTTAAAAGGTGATTTTAGTGAAAGAGATGCCCTGGAGCAGGATTCTCCAGCTTTCAGCTGCACAAATAGTGAAGTAACAGTTCAACCCAGTCCCTATCTGAGTAACCAACTTCCCAAGGACTTTGGAGACCCGAACACTGGGGAGAATGCTCACAAACTCATAGATTTTCTTAAACTGAAAAGAAATCAGCAAAAGTCTAACTGATTAGAGCACCAGAGTTCAAGTCTGAGGTAAAAAGGAACCACCTTGGCATCAAGAAGCTGCTCTGAGCTCACAACCTCCTCTTACCCTATTCTGTCAGGGTGGGAGGCAGGGTAAAATCAATAGCTTTTTATATCCATGTATATTAAGCTAGAAAAAATGGAGGGACTTTGCTACTTGTAAAAATAAATAATAAATAGATCTTAAGCATAAAAATAAAACAAAAACTCACGCCTGGATTATTTTAATAGCCTCCTTCTGGTCCTCTGGGCCTTGTTCCTTAAACCCACTTGATATATCAATGCTACAATAATTGCTCACATTTGTAGTTCTCTCTTGAAGAATTTATCTGCTCTTTAATCAAGTACATATGTCTTGGCAGCATTCAAGGCATTCCATATGACTCTACCTTATTCACCTAATCTTACTTTCAAGTACTTCAAACATAAAATTGCTTTTTCTGTGAAGTTTATCATTTCAATGTTCCTTCTCTGATACCAAAAATAAAGTCACACCATATCTTTATTTATAGAATGCTCCTGGTCTACAAACAATTATCTTTTCTCTAATTCTCTACCTACCCAAATTCAATCTAAACTTCAGCATCCAGGTTAATTTGTACTTTTCCTGCTAATGAGTTTGCATGGATATATTTCTTCTCTGATGAGTTAGCTAATTGACACATTTGGTACTATATACTATACTATTATGTTTTCCAATAGTTTTTTTGTTTGTTTTAATGTTTATTTAATTTTGAGAGAGAGGGACAGAGTGTGAGTGGGGGAGGGGCAGAGAGAGAGGGAGACACAATATGAAGCTGGCTCCAGGCTCTGAGCTGTTAGCATAGAGCCCGATGTGGGGCTCGAACTCATGAAATAGTGACCTGAGCCGAAGTCGGACACTTAACCACCTGAGCCACCCGTGTGCCCCTCCCACAGTTTTCTGTTCCCTGAGGTACCCCAACAATATTTTAAGTTTCCCAAGAGTAAGCGAAATCTTAAGACTCTTTCAGTCTCCTTCCTTCCCAATGTATTGCTGAGCATGGAGTAGATACTGAAAAAGTACTTGTAGAATGACAGAGAATAAAATTATTTCTTTATACACAGAGATTTTCTCTTAAGTTATACCTGAGATTTTATATTGCTTATATTTAAAAGCAGTTGAAAGTTTTGTTTCACAGTCAGGTTTAAATATTGCCTAAAGTTAACATTACCAGATTAAATATGAAAAGTCTTCTGAACTGGCTTTAAAAATTTCTTGAGAATGCAGAGGTTTGTGTATGACATGTGATAATGAAATAAAATGTTCCAAAGATCAACTAAACCCTGCCTTTATATGTTATCTTTTAAAATTTTATTTATTTGATAATTTAAAAATTTCAATGTCTGAAAAAGAAATATTAGAAAAGAACATAATAAAAACCTTTTATTGCTTCAAATTTTTCACTCTTACCCAGAGCAATGGCCAGTCTGTAGTCCTATTCTATTTAAAATGTACTGTGTTGATTTTGTACATTGTTGGTATGAATGTAATTCGTAAAATTTCTCTAAAGAACAACTTTCTTTACAATACCTGTCAACATTTAAAAGAATATAACCTTTGCTCTAGCAATTTCATTTCAAGAAATTTATTCTACTGGTATTCTTGCACAAGTATACAAACAGGCATAATGTTATACTGCAGTTTTATATACAATAATAAAGAATACTTTTCAGAGCTTACATGTCCATCATCAGAGGACTAATTTTGTAAATGACAATTCATCCATAAATGTAATATTGTATGGCTACTGAAAGAATCATGAAACTAACATAATGGTATCTGTCAGTTGTATTTCAATTTTTAAAATAAATAAATAATGGGGTGCCTGGGTGGCTCAGTCGGTTAAGTGTCCGACTTCGGCTCAGGTCATGATCTCACGGTCCGTGAGTTCAAGCCCCATGTCGGGCTCTGTGCGGACAGCTCAGAGCCTGGAGCCTGCTTCGGGTTCTGTGTCTCCCTCTCTCTCTGACCCTCCCCCGTTCATGCTCTGTCTCTGTCTCAAAAATAAATAAACGTTAAAAAAAATTTTTTTTTAAAAATTAACATTAAAAAAAATTAAAATAAATAAATAAAAGGAAGGAATCGGTTTGTTTTTATGTACAAATATGGAGGCAGCTTTGAGACACACTGGGAATGAAATAACAAAAACAAAGCATAGAGTAGTATATGTCATTGCATCCACACTAGTATGAGGCAAAACAGTTGTGCAGTAAATAACCATAATAGGTATTCAGAATGGAAATAAAGCAATGTGAATTCACAGCAGGAAAGAATGTATACAACTACCTAACTTTAAGGAAAGAAAATATTATAAGTTTTACTGAGATTTCAACATTTTTGAGTGTAAAGGAGGATATATATGTATGCATATACACAGAATATCTTTGGAGGGTTACACAAGAAACTGTTAAGAGTTGTTGCCTTAAAAAGAGACATAGGGTTAAGGATAAAAGGAAACTTAGGTTTCACTGTGTACTTTTTGGCACTGTTTAAACTTAATAGAAATGTGTCTATTAGCTATTAAAAATGAAATATTTAAAAAAAGGAAATAAAAAAAAAAAGCTTACCGGGCTGGACAAGTGGCTTTGTAGAGCTGACAAGACCTGCTTTCCTGTTCACTGATTTTTTTTAACTGGAAACCTTTTCTCCTTGGCCCATACTGACACTCCATTACCACGGCTCTACTCCCTGTAGGCCAAAACCAACTATTGATATTAATTGAAGTATCCATCTGTTCTGGACACTAGAATAAAAATAACTTAGTGGTGGCAATGTCAAAATTTACACTTTCGATTATGCAACTTTAAGGAAAGAAAACATCAGTAAGTCTTACTAAGATGTATAAACATAAAAATAAGAGTTTATTGTAATATTTACCAAATGTACATTATGGAAAAGAAATTTGATAATACCACATTTACTGAATGTTAACTGATATTTACATACATATAATTTTTAATAATAAAATTTGCCACCTTATAAGTAGAAATTAGTAAAAGGTACATTTGTTAGTAAATATTGTCATTTAAAGTTTTATTTCATTTTATAACTATTTATTTCCTTATTTCTATTTGTACTATTAGAATACAGTAGTCCCCCCTTATCTGCGGGGGATATGTTCCAAGACCCACAGTGAATGCCTGAAATAATGGACAGTACTAAACCCTATATAAACTATGCTTTTTCCTATACATATATGCCTATGATAAAGTTTAATTAATAACCTAAGGCACAGTAACAGATTACAATAACTAATAAAATAGAACAATTATAACAATATACTGTCATAAAAGTTATATGAATGGGGTTTCTCTCTCAAAATAATTTATTGTACTGTACTCACCCTTCTTCTTCTTGTGATGATGTGAGATGATAAAATGCCTATGTGATGAGATGAAGTGAGGTGAATGACGTAGGCATTGTGATGTAGCATTAGGCTACTACTGACCTTCTGACAAAATGTCAGGAGGATCATCTGCTTCCAGACTGAGGTTGAGAACAGGCAACTGAAACCTTGGAAAGTGAAACTGCGGATAAGGGGGGACTACAATAATGTAATAACCAGCCTATAATATGGCCCCCAATGATCCCTATTTTCCTAGTACTCATGTCCTTGGGTAATTCCCTCCCCTTGAGCATGGGCTAGACTTATTAACTTACTTCTAATGAACATGGCAGAAGTGACAAGATGCTATTTTTGATACTAGGTTATAAAAAGACTGTGACTTCCATCCTGGGTACTCTCTTGCTCTTGCTTGGATTGCTCTGTCTGGGTGAAATCAGCTGTCTGTGGTGAGGCAGCTCTGTGGAGACACCCATGTGGCAAGGAATAAGCCACATGAGTGAGCTTGAAAGCACATTCTGCCCCAGCCAAGTGGTGAGATGACTGCAGCTCCAACCAACACCTTAAGAGCAAGCAGTCTTGTGACAGAACCTGAGGCAGAACTACCTTGCTAAGCAGCTCTTGGATTCCTGACCCAGAGGAACAATGAGATAAATGTTTGTTGTTTTCAGCCCTCAGGTTTTGGGTAATTTGTTACATAGCAAAAGAATACAAATAAGTGGATGTGAAAACTATAAAGTTTATGATTTTAAGTCAAATATCCAGTTCCATGTAGAGTATAGCAGAGCACAGCAAACTTTTCAAATTTAAAATAAAAAACACCAGTCATAAATAAAAGTGTTGAAAAAGCTGACATGAATTAAAAATTAAAATTTTTTAATTTAAAAGACACCATAAAGGTAAAAAAGTTAAAAAAACAGTATTTTACAACACATATAACAAAGAATATGCAGAATATAAAGAACTACAAATAAACTTTAAAACTAAAGAACCAGGGGCGCCTGGGTGGCTCAGTCGGTTGAGCGTCTGACTTCGGCTCAGGTCATGATCTTGCTGTCAGTGAGTTTGAGCCCCGCGTCAGGCTCTGTGCTGACAGCTCAGAGCCTGGAGCCTGTTTCAGATTCTGTGTCTCCCTCTCTCTCTGCCCTCCCCCACTCATGCTCTGTCTCTCTGTCTCTGTCTCTCTCTGTCAATAATAAATACTAAAAATTTTTTTAAAAATAAAAATAAAGAACCAAACAGAATAATGGGCAGACTATTAATAGGTAATTCAGAAAGAAAAAATAAGATATTAAATGAACAAATAAAAAGATGTTCAACTTTATTACTAAATATGGAAATGCAAATTAAAGCAATAGTAAAATACCATCTCACACTCTTTGGATTGGCAAAAAAAATTTTTAACAATACTCTAAAATAACTGGACCCACTGATCAATCTTAACATCACAAAAAGGTGTTGCACATAGGTAGCAATAAGAAGTACACAGCACTTCTTATGTGTACTTCTTATGTACACAGTATGAAGCATTTTTGTACAATACTTTAATGGAGATTAAATCCTCATTTAATCAAGCCTCTAGATCTAATAGTTCACTGGAAATAGAGGAGATTTAAAAAAAAAACATGCTAAACTACATCACAGAGATGGGATCAGCAAAACTCAGAATATGACAAACTCTACAGGACAAACTACCTGGGGGAAAAGAGAAAATAAATTTTTAGATGAAAAATTTAAGAGATAAATTAACACAAATGTGATCTGTGAACTCTGGAAGTGAATTTGAACAAACCTAGGGAAAAAGAATTCTTAGATAAGTAAAGAAATGTGAACTTTGGACATTCTATGACACTAAGAAATTAGTTAATTCTTTTAAAGTGTTAATAATGTAACTTCACTTAACATATGCATGTGTATAAAGAGTCCTTATCTTTTAGAGATATATACTTTAGCATATAATATATACTTTAGTAATTACACATAAAACAATGGGATATCTGGAATTTGCTGGAAAATCATCTTGGAGGTAGGAATGAAGAAGGGGGATATAAATGAGACAAGTTTGACCATATGCTAAGTGTTGTTGAAGCTAGATGATGAATACATGGAATCATGGGATTTCATATATTGTTATATATGTTATATATATCTTTCTATACACATATATATATATGTGTGTGTGTATATATATGAGAAAATTTCCAGAATATATAGATTTTTAAAGTCCACAATGCTAAGTCATAAAGTGAATGAAGGAAAGGGAAATTTTCATACATTGTTGAAACAAGTAAAAATTGGTACAGGTCGTCATTCCCTCATGTACAATTCTGAAATAGAAAAAGTTCAGAAAACAAATTTTTTGGAACTCATTTGACTACAAAACCTGACCTGAATTTTACAAGGCTATTTATGTTCTTTTGTTTATCCTTCCTAGTGTGACTATCCATAAAGTATTACTGTGTTTGATTATGTGACAGTGTCTATAGAATACTTGCTAGGACTATTCTGTAATAGTATCATGCTACATTCCAAAAATTCTGAAATACATGTGGCCAAAAAATTTTAGAGAGGAGACTTGGACCTGTACAGCCACTTTAGAGAACAACTTGAAATAATCTTGTAAAGGGCATACTTTACAACTCAGCATCTCCACTTTATTTTTTTATTTTTAAAAAATTTTTTTTTCAACGTTTATTTATTTTTGGGACAGAGAGAGACAGAGCATGAACAGGGGAGGGGCAGAGAGAGAGGGAGACACAGAATCGGAAACAGGCTCCAGGCTCTGAGCCATCAGCCCAGAGCCTGACGCGGGGCTCGAACTCACGGACTGCGAGATCGTGACCTGGCTGAAGCCGGACGCTTAACCGACTGCGCCACCCAGGCGCCCCAGCATCTCCACTTTAAAGCATACACCATTATCTTATTTCCATCTTCTCAACAGAAAATGTACACTGTCAAGATTTGACTACAGCATTCTGTGTAATATTGAAAAGTTAGAAACATCTTAAATGATAATTAGTGGCATTATTTTTGATATTACTGGTGATATGCTGGAATGTTATATATTAGTTAAATTAAGGTCTGTAAGTATCAATATGTACAGATTTCAAGAAATAAGGGTGGAAAAAAAAGAAATAATTGTGAGTGAAAATTTACATAAGACTGTCTGTAGTTTGCTATTTATGAATATTTAAAAGTATTCAAAACAATATATTATTATAAAGACAAACATGTATGGCAAAGTATACAAATATAGACTGGAAAGATACATACCAAATTTATGTAGTGGTTGCCTGTGGAGAGTTAACATGGGGATAAAATCTAGGGAGGGGGGAAATGTTGCGTTTCTTTTATAAGATAGTGATGAAACCTGGGCAGAAGAGGTTACATTTATCTCATCTTCTTCTAAGTATCTTTTTTTTACTCTCAGAGGTCCAGGATAAGACTGCAACTCCTCCAGCTGACTCAGTATTCCCAGAGTCCTGAAATAAATCACTTATTTTTATGTTCTTGGGAGTCTGACTAGTCCTAGGATAAATCTCTGGGAATTGTTTGAAACCCTACCACTTCAGGGGTACCTGGCTGGCTCAGTTGGTAGAGCATGTGACTTTTAATTTTTTTTTTTTAACGTTTATTTATTTTTGAGACAGAGAGAGACAGAGCATGAATGGGGGAGGGTCAGAGAGAGAGGGAGACACATTTTTAATTCGGGGTTGTAAGTTCGAGCCCTATGTTGGGTGTAAAGATGACTTAAAAACCTTAAAAAAAACAACCAAAACTCTACCACTTTAATACACACTAGCCTGGTATTTGAGAATACCATATGTAACACATCTGATGTTTGAGTATCTTAGTCTTAGAATTCTGTTTAGTAACTCCAGATTGCATACAAATTCTATGTAGTAAGTCCAGAGTTACATAAAATGAACACATATTTGTCCCACAAGACAAATCAAAAGAAGAGAATATCTGAATTTCATAAAAAAATTCAACAGATACACATATTTAAAATAATAAAATTGCTATGTTAATGTTTTTATTTTCTATTTATCAATACATCTAAAGAAAGCATTATTTATTCTAATATAATACAATTTTATAATAAAAATAATTGGTTATATTTGTTTTATTTTTAGTTTAATATGCATTTTCATCAATTAACATTCAGCTGTCATCCACCAAAGTGAAAAATTTGGTAGAAAACTTTTAGGAAAACCACATTTTCACAGTGTATCATGGGTGTGCTGAACCTTTAAAAAAATTTTCTTTTAAAAAGTACCTGCATTGACAAATGGGATTCCGTCATATGGAACATATTGAGATTTCCACATCAAGCGTGTAGCTGGCTTGGCTGGACTTGGAGATTGGCGGGTCCCCCAAACACTCTGAGTTTGCTGCTTGTGAAATGTTAGGACACTTTCTAATTCAGTCTCACTTACACAGTAGCCACGGTAAGAATCTCCAATTTTCTGCATATTATAGAAATTAAATAACAAAATTATTAGCAAATGTTTCACTGTACCAAAAATTTAATGAAGTGATTTTCCAAGATAAAAGACTCATCAGTTTTTAAAACAGAATGTCATTCTCCTGTCAGATCAATGGTGTATTACAACCAGTGTATCTGATCTGATTTCAAGTAAATATTCTCCAAGTATTTGTTAGAGAATATTATTTCAAACTCATGGTCATACCATCAGTATCAAAATCTTGTTTGAGAGAAATAACAGTTAGGGAGGACAGCTTGAAGAATACATTATGTATCCATTCTTCCATATATTTAAATTTTACCCTTAGATCCAACCAGATCAACACAAACTAGCCATGAAGTACTGGCTCCCTGTGGAGCTTCTTTTATTGAAATTAATCTTGACATGACACAAATATTTTTGAAAATCTATGAAAATTGTGATGTATCTCCCATATTGAAATGATATCAAAGAATTTGCTCATTATATCAAGATTCTTTTTATGAAGATCCTTCCCTGAAAGAAAATCCTGTCTGAACCTAGAACCAAAAATAGTTAATGGTTTTATTTTATGGAAATCAACTTAATTACTTTTATCTAATGGACACAGAATTTAGTAACTAACTGGGTTTTCCCATTCTGAAATGTAGATGCTTATAGACAAGGGTGTGTGTGTGTGTGTGCACGCGCATATGTATGCGCGTGTGTATGTATGTACGGTTCATTAAGATATACATTTCTTACTTCCATTTTATCATTGCATTCTTGTTTTTTATTCTTTTAATTTCTACCTTGCTAATATATTTTATGTATTTTTGTAGGCTGTCTTCATTCTTCCTAAAACAAGGAAGGTATAAGTAAATCGTGTAAATAAATTGATACTATCCACTCACAACCATGGGAATATCCCTCAACAGAAGTAGAAGTTTTTTCTACACCAGTAGAGAAAATCTGTTAACTGTGATCTCTTACATAAAATGCATGAATTCCATGAAATTGGCTCCATGAATATTTCCTCATTAAAGGGAACAAGAGCAACATTTTGCCTCGTTGCATCTGAGAGTGCAAATTGGTTCACCAGCAGCTCTGCTGGAGCCACTGAGGAAATCTGGCCAGGGTTCTTGTTCTTGTTGCATCTGCTCAAACCAGCATGGTCTGATGTGTGAATACAGCCTCAACATATGCCGCCAGTGTTTCTGTCAGTACGTGAAGGATACAGGCTTCATTAAGCTGGACTATGTGAACTTCCTTGAATGGGTCATCCAAGATACCTACTTTAACTGCAGATATCCAAGATAACCTACCTTAATGCCAACTCATTGTACATAAAATAAAAATACTTCAATTGTGTTTTAATGTGACAAAAAAAAATGGAGGGAATAAGAGCAGAGATATGGGACTAGGAATCTTGTTACTGTATCAGACTAACTATTTCACCCTACAGGAATACATTTAACAAGATGAAATTATCACAATACTGCTGTGGATGTACTTTGGGCCATAATAAGAAGAGATAATCTGATGCCAAGCAATACATTATCTCCAATTTCCCCTAAAAATAATAAAATGTGTAGACTTATAAATTTTTTTCTAGCCTAGATATATCTTCACCAAAATACTGACTACCAATAAAAGTAGAAACTTGAAGTCCAGCTATGCCATTTTTTAAACAAATAAAATGAATAGAGTTCATAATATTGCCAAAAAAAAAAAAAAAAAGGAAAAATTCAGAATTAGTAGAATATAACCAGGCCTCTATCAGGAGATAAAAGTTTAATACAGTTTTGAAATTTATCCAACTACTACATTTTGGTGAAATCTAATAAATGCCCATAGAAAAACATTCTGTTGGGCAGTTTTAACCAGTTTCTTACAAGATGTATGACATTAGGGAAGCCACACACAATGTATCATGGTTGTAAAACAAGGTGATTTGGCCACATAATTGCTAATGCTTTAATTTTTGTAGCATTCTGTTAAGCTTATAATAATGATTTTAAAAACCGTCATCAGGGGCACCTGGGTGGCTCAGTGGGTAAAGCGTCCGACTTCAGCTCAGGTCATGATCTCATGGTTGTGAGTTCAAGCCCGGCGTCAGGCTCTGTGCTGACTGCTCAGAGCCTGGAGCCTGTTTCAGATTCTGTGTCTCCCTCTCTCTCTGACCCTCCCCCGTTCATGCTCTGTCTCTCTGTCTCAAAAATAAATAAACGTTAAAAAAATTTTTTTAATAAAAAATAAAAAATAAAAACTGTCATCAAAAATAATAATAGTTACTTTTGGAAACCAGTGAAAAAGTATGAGTAACAAAAGTGTGAGGGAAAAAAAAATCTATCCATCTATACATATACACCTAAATATATATGACTTAGAAAATCAACAATAATAAACATGTCCTAATCATTGCAATAGATCACATCATTATACTTGATTATTAGGATTTTTTTCTGGGAGTGCCTGGGTGGCTCAATCAGTTAAGCATCCGACTTCGGCTCAGGTCATGATCTCACAGCTTGTCAGTTTGAGCCCCAAGTCAGGCTCTGTGCTGACAGCTCAGAGCCTGGAACCTACTTCGGATTCTGTGTCTCCCTCTCTCTCTGCCCCTCCTCTGTTCACTCTCTCTCTGTGTCAAAATAGATAAGCATTAGAAAATTAAAAAAAAATTTTTTTCCTTGGGATGGGGCGCCTGGATGGTTAAGCAGTAGGCTTCAGCTCAGGTCATGATCTTGAGGTTCATGAGTTCGATCCTCGTATTGGGTTCTGTGCTGACAGCTTGGAGTCTGGAGCCTGCTTCAGATTTCTGTGTCTCCTTCTCTCTCTCTGCCCCTCCCCCACTCACACTCTGTCTTTTTCTCTCAAAAATAAAATAAACATTAAAAAAAGTTAACAACAACAACAAAAAAGTTAATTTTCTTGGGATGCCTGGTTGGCTCAGTTAGTTGGTTGAGCATCCAATCCTGATTTCAGCTCAGGTCAAGATCTCACGGTTTGTGAGATCAAGCCCCACACTGGGCTCTATGCTGATTATGCGGAGCCTGCTTGGGGTTCTCTCTCTCCCTCTCTCTCTGCCCTCCCCTGTCTGTGCCCTCTCTCTCAAAATAAATAAACTTTAAAAAAAGATTTAAAAAAAAAATAATGGTAATGATAATAAATACCAAAGAATTTAAAGAGATATATAAAAGCTAAAATAATCATTAGATTATTTAAAGAAAAGATATATAGAACTTGCACTGGGATTTGAAGAATGGTTACAAAGGTAAACAGAAGAAAAGAAAACATATTATGAAATGGAAATAAAGACAAGTGAAGGCAGAGTTAAAGAAAGATTCTGAAGTGTCTGTACAAAGTAGGAAGAGTAGGCTAACAAGAATAAAAGATGAGGTAGAGGAAAAGTAGTAAATAAAATAGGACAAGATAAGGTAATACCAGATAATGAAAAACCTTAAAAGTTATGTATAGTGGTAAATGATATGGAAAAAATAACACTGAACCTGTTGGGCAGCGAGAAAAAATAATGAAAGCAATATTTAAAGCCAGGTAGTTTTAGAAAACTAGACAGTGGGGACCAGAAATGGAAGAGTCAACGAGCTTAGAGGGAAGGCTGTTACTGTAATTGAGTTTGAAATAACAAAGATCTGTGGAAGAGGCAGCCCCAACTGCCTCACAAAAAGAAGAGAGATTTTAAAGGAAAAACTGTGAGACTCAAGTGATTACTTGAATATGGGAAAGAAAGAAATTAGTCTAAAATACTGTGCTGGAATGTCTAAAGAAATGGTATTTATCATTACAGGGACAAGGGACTTAGGAAGTACAGCTAGTTGTGATATGGTAATTTAAGTTTAGCATATGGTGAATTCGAAGTGAAATTCAAGTAAAGCTACAAGAAAGTAGCTGGAGATCTGAGACAAGAGCAAGGCAACAATTAAAGGACCAGTGATATATATTTGGAAATCATTTTTATAGAAGTGAGAGTCGAAAGTTAGCAAAGTTGATCAGCAGTTCAAAAGATAAAGTGTAGATAAATAAGGTCAAACAGTTTAACTTAAAGAATTTCAACTGAGAACATGAAAAGAAATAAATGAGAAGAAAGAGAAGGAATGGTCAAAAGATAAAAAGTAGAGAAACATGATAGTGAAGTTTCATGAGACAAAGGAAAAGAGTTGCAAGAGAAGACATGATAGTGAAGCATGAAGGGATCTGTATGATCTCTGTTTCAACAGAGCTTAAAATCTCTAAGGAATAAAAGAATAGGTGAGATCAGAGTTAGCATACACATGAACAAAAATTACAGAACAGATAGTCTCCATTAGTTGGATTCAAAAGTGGACATTTGGGGATGCATTACAATCAATTTAGTGAATCTAAGTAAGGATTATCTTTAACTCACCTCACAGCTCCTAAGACGGCAAGCCCACATAGGTGTGTTAGAAGAAAGTGGCTGGAGAGGAGCCAGAAAGGGCTCTTCAAGCATTCTGGGAAAAGGGAGGAATATGTATATAAACACATATTGTAAGTTGCATTCACACAAACACACATGACATTCAACTGCTTTATCCTCTTAGCCAGTGTTAAAGACAATATATTGAGGTCATCAATAAGAAATTGTAGGGGCGCCTGGGTGACTCAGTCAGTTGGGTGTTGGACTCTTGATTTCTGCTCAGTTCATGATATTTCAGCTCATGGGTTCAAGCTCTGCATCTGGCTCCACAGATGAATCCGCTTGGGATTTTCTCTCTACCCCTCCCCTGCTCATGCACGCTCTCTCAAAATAAATAATCTTAAAGAAGAAAAGAAAAGGAAAGAAAAGAAAAGAAACTGTAATAGTAGGAGCACCTGGCTGGCTCAGCTGGTAGTGCATGTGACTCTTGATCTCAGGGTCATGAGTTCGAGCCGCACATTGGGTATAGAGCTTGCTTGCTTACATACATACATATATACATAAATAAAATCTTTAAAAAATTGTAATAATAATGATAGAGTGATGGATGTATTAATTTTCTTTAAACATTACCATCTTATTAGCTGCTAAAGCAAAGGCCTAAGTTTCTTCTTCCAAATACCTGTAGTCCCAATAAATTTAAGTGGTTTATATATCTCCCTCAACGCTTACTTTGCTGTCTTCTCATTATATAATTTTTTTTTCATTTACAAAAAAATGAATAAAACATCTTTAGGTGATTTTTTTAAGAGTTAACATGATATTATGTCAAGTTCTAAGACTAAATGTCATAAACATTGTGTTAATTTTTAATATCTTCATAAACAGTTAAAAGAAAATAAATAATACAAAACCTATATTTCCCTAAATTATTATAAACAATGTTAAGGCAAAAATAAAAGCTGAAATAGATATTAATAAGAAACATTTAAACACTTTACCACAGAGGAATTAAATGCATAAGAGATGATTTTAGGAACTAGAATGGATATTTCTTTCTTTCTTTTTTTTTTTAATTCTAAAAACCCTATGAGTGTCAGATATTTTCAGATTGCTTCAAAAGATAACAGGCAAGTGTCACTGAGGAAAGGTAATACTTCAGACACTATAGCTTCTAGGATAGCCTCCTTGTTGCCAAGATGCCATTAAAATAATTAAAGATATTTGATAATTAGGTTAATGTTTATTCTATTTCCTGAATTTCTGATCTTTTCTATAGCCAACCAGCTTTAGACGTGGTAATTTCAAAAACGATCTCCATGATGAATTCAAAAGATGAACTTCTCTCTCCCACTGACTCACCTGGCCACGGTCTTTTTGGGCAATGTGAGGGATGCTTGTGGATGAAGAGTATAATTACTGGTATTGTCTGCTAGAACATCCACTCTTATGGTTGGTAAGTTTCTGTCACCAGGTTTCTCTTCAGAGACATCTTAACAGCAATAAAAAGAACAAAGCAACATCAAGATCTTGAATAAGACAATGACAAGGTAACTAATTAGAACTCATACATTTGAAATAGGAAAGGCGAGATGTACTCTAAAGATAAAGATAACAAAACTTATAACGCTTTATTGAGAATTTCTCTAATAAACTTGTTTAGTTTCAAATTATAATACTGACTACTGAAATTTTGTAATTAAGTTTTTGAAGCTTAAATTGAACAGCTAGGATATAAAAGTGGTAGAACTGTTATGTTAATTGTTTCATAATGTAATGGGAAAATATAAAACTCATTTCTAAGCCATGTTTATTTTTTTTCTGCAAACTTTCTTTTCTCTAAGTTTTAACTGTTAACAAAGACAAAGAATCATAACACTAAGGTAAAAACATCTACTCTAAATCATTAGCTATGAATGAACAATGAAACAGTGTAGCTGTGGTGTTAGAAAAGAGAAAAGGAAGGGAAGCAAAAGACAAGAACTAACAGGGATATTACCAAATAGGTAAAGAATTAAAAAAAATGGGGAGCATGATTCTCCTTTCTGAATCTGAAGGAACAAAGAGGGAAACAGCAAAGAGGATGAAAAGAATAGTTAAACAAAAGAGTAATGAGTCACATGGCTAACAAAAGTATCGATAAAAATACAAAAGTAAAAATTTCTCCAGTAGCTATTAACATTATATTCTTGTTATTGTTGCTGTTATTATTACTGTTATTATAATTAAGAAGAATTTATTATGCTCACTGGTCATTTGGAAGGAAGCAAGAGTCAACCAGCTTCATAGAATTCCAAAATGAAATAGACAGCTAACCTAGACAGGGGTTGAAAAATGAACTTGAAATTTATTTGGGCTAAGAAACTTTTTCTAATTATTCAGTTCAAAATCTTACCCAAAGACACCAATTAGCACTGACTTTCGTGAGGTGATTTTCTGGAATATACATTTTTTAAATCTAAAATCCCCTATATCCCAACATTACTTACCCTGAGGGCTATTCACATCCACAAGCTGCCCCTGAGGAATAATTACTTGTGCCATTCCTGTCTGGGTAGATGGAATTACACGCAGCACCTGTCCATTTTCTGATGGGCTAGGAACAATCATCTTGGAGCATTAAAAAAAAAAAATGAAATGCATAAGCCAGCAATGATTTGACAGAATTATTACTTAAATAAATTATTAAAGACATGCCTACCTCTATGGTGGTTACTATTTATTTCCCTCATTTTATACATGAAAACACTGAGGTACACAAAGATTTTTTTCCAAAGTCTTACACCTGGTAAGTGGTAAACCCAAGTTTCAAAACAGGCAATTTAGCCATATGTCCTATGATCTTAACCACCTATGCTCTTAATTATTACACTTGGATGAGGTCTAATTACTTAGTAATATGAACAAGGCTCTGATTGGACTTAATATATTTACTTTTTTCCCCTTACTGTATTATATCCCTATGTGTTTGAATTATTTGTGTGGTAATCATTTGTCACATGTAAAAACAGTACCTTGTTAGATGTCTAATTAAACAGAATTTATCTTTATATCTCTGAATTTATATATATATATATATATATATATATATCCTATCTTGGTCCATGAGGAATACCATAGAATGCCCCAAAAGTCTGAAAATATAGGAAAAATCATAGATTACTTTTTTCCTTCAATTTAACAATTGAATCCATTGTCTCAAATTTAGAGGTCAATGAAAAGGGTGTTTGAAGCTGAAGAAAAACACTTTAACGCCTATCATCTGAACATAAAACTAATACATTATTTGAAAATAAGTTTATCCTATATTTCCAGACTTTTGGGACACTGTGTAAACTCTATTACCTAACACACTACTCCTCTATTGACATAGTGTTATTCTTTTACCCAAAGTCCACTAGCCTCAGTCTCCCTAATACAAGTAACTCTTCATAATCCTTACAACCCACTTTCCAAGACTGCCTTTTTGCTATATAAAACATGAAAACATTGCTGATGTCTGAGAGAGACTGTAGTCCTAATTTCAAGAGGGTCAATTGAAAAAATTTTAATTTGAGAAAAAATTAAATTGGAAAAAAAAACTTCAACAAAGTAGAATGCTTTAAATATAATCATAAACATTTCCCAGAAATTAAGAGTAGTAGTTGATACCCTCTCCTAATGTTTATCGTTTCTTGAGAGAAAAATATCTTGCCATACCTTTTACCAATTCATTATGAAAAAGAAATTGTAAAGTCTGATGATGATAATTGCTTTACATTTGTTGAGAGCATACAAAATAGCAGGACTTTACATGCCTTACCAGATTTAATCCTTATCACATGTATATGAAGTATATACATTTTATACTTGAGGAAATTGTCACAAGAGGTTACACAACTCATGCAAAATAACACAAAGTTACATAGTGATAAGTTGAAATTCAAACCCAAATTCAAACAACTACTGCTTCCCATTATCTGATCATGTTATTCAACTTAAAAAATGCAAAAATAATACAAAAACACTGCTGGACTTTAAAAGGCAACAGTAATAACATGGTTTTAAATTATTTTCTCCTTAGGGGAGCCTGGGTGGCTCAGTTGGTTAAGCGTCCAACTTTTGAGTTCAGCTCAGGTCCTGATCTCACAGTTTCATGGATTCAAGCCCCACACGGGGCTCTGTGCTGACAGTGCAAAGCCTGCTTGGGATTCTCCCTCTATCCCTCTCTCTCTGCCACTCCCCTGCTTGCTCTCTCTGTCCTTCTCAAAATAAATAAACTTTAAAAAACAAAATAAAGTAAAGTATATGTTATTTTAAAAATAAATACTTTCCGGGGCGCCTGGGTGGCGCAGTCGGTTAAGCGTCCGACTTCAGCCAGGTCATGATCTCGCGGTCCGTGAGTTCGAGCCCCGCGTCAGGCTCTGGGCTGATGGCTCGGAGCCTGGAGCCTGTTTCCGATTCTGTGTCTCCCTCTCTCTCTGCCCCTCCCCCGTTCATGCTCTGTCTCTCTCTGTCCCAAAAATAAATAAACGTTCAAAAAAAAATTAAAAAAAAAAAATAAAATAAAATAAAAAAATAAATACTTTCCTCCTTAAATGAGATTAAAGATTTGTGAAAAATATTTCATTTATTCTTAGAGAAGAATAGTGCTGTGGTTATTACTAAATCCTAACAAAACACATATATTTATAATTTAATCATATGAAAATATCGTAATTGAAACAATCGTGGGGGGCACCTGGGTGGTTCAGTTGGTTAAGCGTCTGACTCTTGATCTCAGCTCAGGTCATGATCTCATGGTTCATGAGTTTGAGCCCCATGTTGGGCTCTGTGCTAACCACATGAAACCTGCTTGGGATTCTCTCTCTCCCTCTCTTTCTCTGCCCTTCCTCTGTGCTCCTGCTCTCTCTCAAAATAAATAAACTTAAAAAAAATGATCTGTGGAGTATCTTAATTTTTAAAATATATTTCCTATGCATGGTAGAGAAGAGTCTCCTCCTCCTCCTCTTAGCTTATTCTACTCCGTAGCTAAAAAAACTATTTTCAGTTCATGTAATTTGATAATGGTGACAATATTACTTTTCCTATTTAAAAAAAAATCAATTATCTTTAATCTTTGCTATGAAAACAAAACCGTTTTGAAAAGTCATCTGTTGCAATACATTCTATTTGAGGCAGATCATGAATATTATCAGAAAACCTTGGCTAATAAGTAGTCGTATTTACTGGGTTCTTTGTGTACTACACAATATTCCTAATAAATCCAAAATACCATCCCTACTTCACTTTATTTTTTTTTCCCTGCTTCACTTTAAAGCCTCCTCATGTGTTACAGATTCACCCACTACAGAAGCTTTACTAGTTCCTTGATTAACTTCTACATTAAAAAAAATCATATAAAGAAAGTCATTTCTTTAAAAAAGCTCCACTTGGTGGGGGATGTTGAAAATGTGTAAGACTATGTGTGTGTAGGGGCAGGGGCTTTATGAGAAATCACTGTACCTTCTGCTTAGTTTTTCTTTGAACCTAAAATTGCTCTAAAAACTAAAATCTATTTAAAACAAGACCCCAAAAGCTCCACTAAGTTTCCCCAAACATCACCACTTTCTAATCTTTGGTTCCTTATACTCTATGTGTCTTACATTTATTTCCATGCTTCATGCTATGGGTTTCCTATTTCATAGCTTCAGGTAACTCTCTCCTACCCCTATCATCTCCTACCCCAAACAATGTAAAATCATCTTTAAGATCATTTTGTACAGAAAGTTTAATACAATTACAAAGAGAATGGGAACTCTAACACTTTTTAGACTCAAATAAGTGACTTTAATGTGTTTAAGACAACTACCATGTGTAAAATGATAGCCCTTCATACAATAGAAATAGAATAACTCTAGAATTCTCCAGACTAGAATCAAAACAGGGATTAATTTTAGGTAAAATGGTTGCTCACCTGTGGTATAGTTTATAACTGAAGCTATAATTTTTAAAATAATTTTTATTATGAAATTTATACCCATTGTAGAAAATTTTAAAAATACAGGTAAACAAGAAATACATTATTCTTCACATTATTACTAATGTAAGGATATTCTTATTAATCAGAGAGCAACTGAGAAGTTTTGCTCAGTAATTCTCTCATTTCAATCAAAACCATCTTTTATTTCTTCTACTCAAACTATAAACTTAATCATAAATACTTTAGCTAATAGATTAAAGCAGGAATTTCATCTTTATACATTGTTATTCACATGACACACACATATCTGCCCATTACCAAGGTATGTCTGATTGCCAGTTTATCATTGGTACTTCCATAGCTTTCTTTTGCTTCAAGAAAGCACAGTGGCACATGGGATGCAAGTTAGTGACTGAGATGTGGATAAAGCAATAACCTTGAATTCAAATGTATATACAAAAATAAATGTAAGTTACATGTAAACTCTGGCACTAGTTACAGGTTATGACACATTTCCAACTAATCTCAAAGTCACATCATGCCTAGACATAGTGGCTGGGAAGTATTGGTTTAATGTACTGTTAGTAGTTCTAAAAGGAAATCTTTTAAAATCTTCACATAACTTAAAAACGAATGTCACAGAAATAGTATTTTCAAAGCAATGTAAGTCAAGTTTCAAGAAATTAGTAAGGTTAATACATTTGCCAAATAGGGTAAAACTTATTATTTATAAAATATACTCACCATTTGTGCACTAGAATCCCCCAATGACTGAAGTTCATATTGAATAGGCTGCCCATTTTGGTCCACTAGATGGAATTGTTCTGTAGAAAGAGTCTGTGTCTGAGTCAGGGTCCCTGGTATATTCTGTGATGTGAGTGAATTATCTACTTCATGAGAGGTGATGGGTAAAATTCTAGGAGAACCATTTTGTCCAAAGGAAGGATCCCTGGAGTCCATACAGGTTAGATGCTTTTGCAAAGAGAAAAAAAGCACTTGGGTGTTTGTAAAACATAATGTCACAATTAAAAAAAATTTTTTTTTCTAAAGATTTTATTTTTAAGTAATCTCTACACCCAATGCAGGGCTTGAACTCACAACCCTGATATCAAGAGTCACATGCTCTACCCACTGAGCCAGCCAGTTGCCCCTAATGTCACAATAAAAAAATAAATAAAATAGAACATTTATCAGGCACTGTGGACAATAGTATGGAGGTTCCTCAAAAAGTTAAAAATGGAGGGGCGCCTGGGTGGTGCAGTCGGTTAAGCGTCCGACTTCAGCCAGGTCACGATCTCGCGGTCCGGGAGTTCGAGCCCCGCGTCGGGCTCTGGGCTGATGGCTCAGAACCTGGAGCCTGTTTCTGATTCTGTGTCTCCCTCTCTCTCTGCCCCTCCCCTGTTCATGCTCTGTCTCTCTCTGTCCCAAAAATAAATAAACGTTGAAAAAGTTAAAAATAGAGCTACCCTATGATCCAGTAATCACACTACTGGGTACTTACTCCAAAAATACAAAACCACTAATTCAAAGGGATACATGCACCTCTATGTTTATAGCAGCATTATTTATAATAGCCAAACTATGGAAACAGTCCAAATGTCCACCGATTGATGAATGGATAAAGAAGATATGCTATATATCCACAATGGAATACTATCCAGCCATAAAGAGAATGAAATCTTGCCATTTGCAACAACATAGGTAGAGCTAGAGAGGATAATGCTAAGAGAAATAAGTCAGTCAGAGAAAGACAAATACCACATGATTTCACACATATGTGGAATTTAAGAAACAAATGAGCAAAGGAAGAAAGGGAGAGGGAGAGGGGAAGAGTGGAGAGAGAGAGAGAGAGAAACCAAGAAACAGGCTCTTAGTAAATAGAGAACTGATGGTTATCAGAGGGGAGGAGTGTGGGTGGATGGGTTAAATAGGAGATGGGGATTAAGGAGTGCACTGGTCGTGATGAGCACTGGGTGATGTATGGAAATTCTTGAATCACTATATGAATCACCTGAAACTAATATAACACTGTATGTTAACTATACTGAAACTTAAAGTAAAATAGCATGTTATAATAAAAATGGAAAGATTCATTTTCAGTTAATTATCCTCTTTATTTTTTGTAAGAGCTGTCAATTCACACAGACTAACATAGAAAGCAGTTTTTAAGTGAAATTGTTGATTTTTATATTTTATTTCAATTTTACTGAAATAAAGTTGTACATGGGAATACAACTTGATATGTAATTCAACATATTTTTCTTTATATATAGATTTTTATGAATATATTACTTTGAGTAAAGCTCTATTATTAAATCAAATATATGATAGCATTGTGGATAAATGTTAACAGTCATGAATATATTAAATATAACACTATTTCTTATCCATTAAAAAGTTGTTAAATGTAATGGAAAAAAGTTCCCAGTTGAATTCCTACCTCAAATACCTGAGAATCTGTTTTTGATTCTTCAGAATCAAAATGGTTGATCATTATCATTATGGTTGACTCTTAATGAATCATTAGAGTGTTCCATGCTGATATATTCAATTCCATTTTCTTTTATTATTTAATAGCTGAAAAAATTTAAATATCTGTTTAAAACACTTAACATTTTTATGGAATGTTTGTCTTAACTAAATCTCTCATTTCTCCTATGGTGTTACCCCATACAATTTAGGTTAAATCATTTCCATTCTATAGATTAAGAAAATAAACATTTCCTTAAATGACTTGCCAAGGCACCAGAATACATTCAAGACAGAGCAAAAATTACCATTGTATAGTTCTCTCATCCTACCCTTAATAACACTCATGTACTTTTTATAAGATTGTTGCTATGTGACAGGTACTGTTCACCCTTTCAAATACTTATAAAATTCTCATTTTACAAAGATTTAATACAAATAAAGGTCTTAATTTTATGAATTGGGAATGCCCTACTGTAGCATTAGATAATTTTAGAAAAGATGTTTTGGTGTAAATATTGATTATATAAACATAGCTCTTACCATAATATACATCATACCACTTAATACTGGCTTGACAAGCTTTGAAAATTAAGAAATATATATTCCAAAAATTCTGAGCCAGTCAGGCCTAATACAGTGGTTAGCACTGGTGTCAATTTTGTCTCTACACACACACACACACACACACACACACACACACACACACACACACACTACTGTCCCCTGAGGACATATGGCAGTGTCTGAAAACATTTTTGGTTGTCAAAATGGACAGGGAAGTGCTACTAGAATATAAGCCAGGGGTACTGTTACATATCTTACAATGCACAGGACAGCCCCCACAACAAAGATGTCAGTATGCTTAGGTTCAGAAACCCTGGCCTAATATATCATAGTGAATACTGGATTCTCTATTAGCTAAAAGGAATGATGTTTTAAGTCTCAAAATTGGAGTAAGGACAAAATGAAACTAGTTAAGACTATCATTGAAAAACTTCTAAAATAAACTGCATAGAATCTTAAGAACACACACATTTTTCTTTTTTTAAACTTTTAAATTTTACCTTTAATTTTTTTAATTTTGAGAGAGAGAGCTGAGCTGTCAGAACAGAGCCTGATGTGGGGCTTGAACCCACGAACTGTGAGATCATGAACTGAGACGAAGGAGGATGCTTAACCGACTGAGCCACCCAGAGGTCCCTGAAAATTTTATTTTTAAATTAACATGCATTAAATTGAACTTTTTTCTTTTTTGGTGTGTAGTTCTATGGATTTTAACACCGGTAACCACCATAACAACCAGGATATATCATAATTCAATCATCCTAAACCCTAATTTAAAATTATGCCTTATCGGGCAACTGGGTGGCTCAGTCAGTTAAGTGTAGGATTCTTGATTTCGGCTCAGGTCATGATCTCACTGTTTGTGGGTTGAAACTCCAAGTCTGACTCCATGCTGACAGTGTGAAGCCTACTTAGGATTCTCTCTCTTAGGATTCTCTCTTTCTCTCTCTGCACCCCGCCCCTGCACTCTCTCTCTCTCTCTCCTCAAACAAAAACTTTTTAAAAATGTTTTCTTACTATAATGCTGGAGAGTTTGTGGAGAAACAGGAACCCTCTTGTACTATTGGTGGGAATGCAAACTGGTGCAGCCACTCTGGAAAACAGTGTGGAGGTTCCTCAAAAATTAAAAATAGATCTACCCTATGACCCAGCAATAGCACTGCTAGGAATTTGCCAAGGGATACAGGAGTAATGATGCACAGGGTCACTTGTACCCCAATGTTTATAACAGCACTTTCAACAATAGCCAAATTATAGAAAAAGCCTAAATGTCCATCAACTACAAATGGATAAAGAAGATGTGGGTTATACATACAATGGAATACTACTTGGCAATGAGAAAGAATGAAATCTGGCCATTTGCAGCAACGCAGATAGAACTGGAAAGTATTATGCGGAGTGAAATAAGTCAGTCAGTGAAAGATACCATATATTCTCACTCATATGTGGATCCTGAGAAACTTAACAAAAGTCCATGGGGGAGAAGAAGGGGGGAAAAAAGTTACAGAGAGGGAGGCAAACCATAAGGGACTCTTAAATACTGAAAACAAGCTGAGGGTTGATGGGGGGTGGGGGAAAGGCAAAAGTGGGTGATGGGCACTGAGGAGGGCACCTGTTGGGATAAGCACTGGGTGTTGTATGGAAACCAATTTGACAATAAATTATATTAAATAAATAAAGAAATAAAATCATTTCCACCCCCTCCCCCAAAATGTTCTCTTAAAAATAAGATAAACTTATACCTTGTAGTTAGGACTTAGTTGGTACATATTTGAACACACTGAATACTTATTTTTCTGTGATAGCATCCACATATATATTTGTAAAATTAAACATTTCAGAAAATCTACAAGGTCTGCCATTTAATATTTCTACAATATTATAAATAGTTCCACTCAAATATAAAATAGGCTAAAAATCAGTCTTATTTTTAATATATAACTATATCTTAAAATTGTCTCTCGTTTTAAGATTTTAAATTATCACTTGTATTCTTTTTTTAACGTTTATTTATTTTTTTATTTTTGGGACAGAGAGAGACAGAGCATGAACGGGGGAGGGGCAGAGAGAGAGGGAGACACAGAATCGGAAACAGGCTCCAGGCTCCGAGCCATCAGCCCAGAGCCCGACGCGGGGCTCGAACTCCCGGACCGCGAGATCGTGACCTGGCTGAAGTTGGACGCTTAACCGACTACCCCACCCAGGCGCCCCTATCACTTGTATTCTAATTTAACTTGTTACAAGAATTTCAAAAACCTGTAATTACCTCTCAAGTAAGAGCAATTCTATCTTATAATGTTCTGGTTCTGTTCTGTTTTTAATTTTTTAGATGATACGTATAAAACTTCAGAATAATACGTTTTATAATGGTTTAAAAAATAAAAAGAGGGGTGCCTGGGTGGCTCAGTCGGTTGAGCGTCCGACTTCAGCTCAGGTCACGATCTCATGGTTCGTGAGTTCGAGCCCCGCGCGTCAGGCTCTGGGCTGATGGCTCAGAGCCTGGAGCCTGCTTCCGATTCTGTGTCTCCCTCTCTCTCTGTCTCTCTCTGTCTCAAAAATAAAATAAACATTAAAAAAAAATTAAAAAACATAAAATAAAAAGGAAGTGCTCGCTTTGGCAACACATATACTAAAATTGGAACGATACAGAGAAGATTAGCATGGCCCCTGCGTAAGGATGACAGCAAATTCGTGAAGCGTTCCATATTTTTAACAAACTGAGGGTTGATGGGGGGTGGGAGGGAGGGGAGGGTGGGTGATGGGTATTGAGGAGGGCACCTTTTGGGATGAGCACTGGGTGTTGTAGGGAAACCAATTTGACAATAAATTTCATATATTGAAAAAAAAATAAAAAAATAAAAAAATAAAAAGCTACACTTCATAAAAAAAATAAAATAAAAAAATAAAATAAAAAGAAAGCCCCACTAATGGCAATATAGCAGACTGGATAATATAGAAGGCTCTCTTGCTAGAAAACAAAAAAATACAAAGTTGATCTAAAACAGAATATTTTGTGCTACACGGAGCTACTATAGGAAGTAACAAAAATCAAAGGTCACTCCGTGTTGGGGCGCCTGGGTGGCTCAGTCGGTTAAGCATCCGACTTCACCTCAGGTCACGATCTCGCGGTCCGTGAGTTCGAGCCCCGCGTCGGGCTCTGGGCTGATGGCTCAGAGCCTGCAGCCTGCTTCCGATTCTGTGTCTCCCTCTCTCTCTGCCCCTCCCCCGTTCATGCTCTGTCTCTCTCTGTCTCAAAAATAAATAAACGTTTAAAAAAAAAAAGGTCACTCCCTGTTCTCCCTTATGTCCCTTCCCCCTCCAAAACAAAGCAAAAGCTGTGAGCTAAAACCCAAGTAATAAGCACAAACAAAGAGGAAAATTTCTGCAAGAGCAGTGCTAATACACAGGTTTTATGGTTGGGAAACCCAGGCTTAGATAAGCAGCTCCTGGGGGAGGAGAACTCAAAAACTCCCAAAATAGGACTAGGAACCTGAAAGGTCCTGAGACAATAGTTTAGCCTGGCTTCTAGTACAAACAAATAGAGTTATTATTTGGAGGAACACAAACCCAACCAAAGCATTAGTTTCCTTCCACATTAATATTAAATATAAGCTTATAATCAGAGTGCCAAAAACACCAAAGACACTCCCTACGGACTTCAAGTATTGGGACAATCTAATAGTGAACATAAAGTTATCATTTAACGTTCAAAGAAATAAACATAAGTGAATCACAGGAATAAACAAACAAGAGACTGAAAAGTTTAATATGAAAAAGAACCAAACAGAACTTTCAGAAATAAAAAAAAAAAATGTAAGTTGGAAACATTAAATAGAAGGTTAGATGCAGAAGAAAGAACTACTAAATTAGAAGGCAGATTTTTAAAAAATTACCCAGAATGCATCATAGGAAAAATAGAAGATAAAAAAAAATGAAAGAGAGACCTAAAACTAGGAAAAATAGAATAAGCATGGTAAATTTATAACTGGAGTTTCAGAAAAACAGAAAAGAGAAAATGGATCAGAGAATATTTGAAGAGATAATGGCTATCAATTTTTCAAAACTGAATACATGGATCCACAGATAAAGCACAAAATGTACCAAAATAAATCAGAAGAAATCCACACCCAGTGTAGTAAAGGCACAAAATTCTAAAGAGAAAGCAAAATCTAAAATGTAGCCAGAGAGACAGAGTGCCCGGGTGGCTCTGTCAAGGTCCAACTTCGGCTCATGGTTCAGTGAGTTTGAGCCCTGCATAGGGATCTGTGCTGACAGCTTGGAGCCTGGAGCCTGGAGCCTGCTTCGGATTCTGTATATCCCTCTCTCTCTCTCTCTCTGCTCCTACCCTGCACGGAGCTCACTCTCTCTCATATAAATAAACAAAAAAAAAAAAAAATTAAAATGTAGCTAGAGTGATCAGATCACCCACAGAGTACTGACATTAGATAGAAAGCAGACTACTCAGTAGCAACAATGGTGGAAGTCATGAGAATTAAAAAAAAGTGATAATCAGTATATGATTATATATGTTCAAAAC